ATTTTAGGGGAAGAGACACTCTACAGCAGGCATAAGTCTTTCTGGTTGGTTTCAAGCTGAAGATGCACTCTGGGGAGATCTGACTGTTGAAAAAGTATCTCGGGATGTCGGTTTATTCCTCCTGTCTCTAGTTGAATCCTAGAGGAGAAGGGAGACATAGGTGGAGACTGTGGTAGGAAGGTGGGCAAGCTACCTGAGAAGGGATAGCAGGAGATACAGAAGAGAAACGTGACTCAAGATGTATGTGGGGATAGTGTGACTTTCAGGGAGAAGCAATTCTTCCACCAGTGCCTGTTTCCTGATACCACTATAATGCAGTATGAACCCTGTCTGAGATTTTCTGACAATGCATTTTTCAAAACAGTTATAGGCATATATACAAACACTAATTTAAAGTATCTAACCACTCATGAACTAAGCATCACTTCTTATGTGTATGAAACAGATTCCCAGGTCATCTTAGCAGTGGTTATATTGAAAGTGTAGAGTAAAAAAGATCGTGAGGGAAGAAGATGCTGAGTATACTCAATCATAGGCTATAAAACGTCTCACGGTACATGTATGATCAGCCTGAAACCTTAAAATGCATTAATTATAAAGCTCAAGTAGTTCTGAGATATGATATGATTTTGGGTTATGTCCAAAAAATAAAATTTGTGTCTGGGGCACATGAAGCAACTTTCCCAGATTTGTGCTTTCATTTTCAGTTTTTTTTTTCTCAGAAAAGGGTAAGGGTAAAATACAAAATGCGTGGAAAAGCTAAAACTTTCTTGTGTCTTTCTGATGACAAAAGGTGGTGAGTCATTTACTCAAACACCAGCCCAGAAATTTTATCTCATGCATCTTGGAGGAAGAAGCCTCACCTGGGCACACCTCCGGTTGGTAAGAGGATCTCCGAGCCGCATCATGAAAAGGTGAGGGCTGAACCTCCCTTTCTCCTCTCTCTGGTTTCCTGAAGCCTTTCTGCACGCGGATCATCTTCCATGTGATTCTGCATCCAAGTTTCTAGTGCCATTGCCCCTTGACCCACTACCGCGAGGATCAGAACCCTGAGCCTCCGTGGAGATGTAAAAGCAGGGAGGGCTGGCTTAGCTTCATTTTATGACACAAAGGTTATAGGTTCCCTAGGAATGGTTCCTGCATTTGGCTGGGCCCTGAGATCAAGGACATCTGTGTGATTCCTGGAAAGAGATGTAGAATGGCGTCCCTTGTCTGGGCCAGGTATCTCAAATCATAAAATTTTAGACTAGGAAATGTGTGCTGTGGGTCCTGAGCAGGACCAGGCAAGTGAGGAAGGTCCAGTGAACACTTCCAATAGGGAGATGTGTGAAGGTGTGTGTCCTTAGCTGGGTCACCTAGCTCAGCTGCGTCACCTGCACACGAGAAGCTCAGCTGGAAGAGTAGCAGAACTTGGAATTCAATGGAAGAGTCTGGGAGTATGACAGCCCAGCAACTCACCAGGAGTGCGAGTCCCAGTCACTTTCCTTTGCAGAGGGGAGAGGGAAGTCCTTCTTTCTACTTTGAATTTACGTGTGTTAATTACACAATCAGAAAGGAACTCAGTTGAAGGAAACTCTGTCCCTTCCTTGGTGAAGTAAACCAGTTTTGACCAGAACGAGGTGAGTAGCCAATGGCAGAGTAGGAACAATACTTCCTGTGTCCCCTCCTAAGTCATCGTATAATCGGCTTCTGACATGCAGGGATCTCTGAAGAAATGCAGCAGAGAAGGAAGTGAATGAGCCAACTGCGTTGGCCTGGTGCCCGAGGAACACCCTGCTTCGAGGATAAAATTGCACCTCTCGTGCCAACAGTTCAGGCAAGGTAACCTACACAAGTAATGCTTGGAATTCAATGGAAGAACAAGCCAAAAGATCCTGTAGGCATTTTTTTTTTAATGGCCTCTAAGATCGCTCTTTTGCTTAGTCTGTGTGCTGCTTCAGCTCAGGTGATGAGGTGAGGGAGCAAATAACCCGCCTTCCTGTTCTGCGTGGTATCTGTTTAGATGACACAGAGGGACGCCATCCAAGTGGAAGAGGGTGTGGCGCCCTGCTACCTCATGCCTCCGTCCTGCGTCAGTGAAAAGCCAAGGGTTACTATAAAAAGTAATTTGTGTCCCGCTCTTGGGGGGAGGGAAGTGTTTCCACACTGCTAATGTCATGCTCCAAATTTTAACCTAGTGTTTTTTCCTGCCCTTACTCATGAAGTGAAGTGAAGTGATGCACATGACTTTCAGCAGCTTCACTTCTTCAGAAGAGAGGAACCAGCAAGCCAGTGACCACCCAGTGGAATTACACAACATGGCTTATTTTTGGGGAAAAGGGAAGTCAGGGTGAGGATCATTTATTTCATCAGACTCATGATCACAAAAGTTAGCCAGGCTAAAAATGGTCGTTAGTCAGACTGCCAATTATATTCTTCCTCTAGCTTCCAAATTCTCATGGCTAAATTCTCTTTTTGTGAAAGATTCTTTTAACTGAGAAAGTCTTCCTTCCGTCCTTACTTTGTTGTCATTTTTCTCTGTTTAATCCTCTCCATTGTCTAATAGAAATAAGATACCATAAGGAGTTAAGGAAGTTTCCTAACTTATCCCCGAACCAAGGAGTAAGACCAGAAATGGAAGACCCTCATGTCCCCTTGGCTGTAATCAAGAAACCAACACGTGGCTAAATCCAATTAGATTAAATGAAGAAAACTATAGATTGGTCATGGGCATTACAACCAGACTGAGGTAATAATGAAAACTACGAGTATGGAGATTGGACAAAGGAGACCCAAAGACCAAGAAACACTAGGAGGACATGTGAGCCGGTGAAATAGTCAGTACTTAGGAGCTTACTGTGTGCTGGGACTGTTCTAATCACTTTACATATATTTATTTATTTAATCCTCAGAAGAAAGCTACTAGGTATTTACCATTATTAGGCCCATTTTGTAGATAAAGGAAACAGGCACAAAATGGTGCCAGTGGTAGACATGGAGAGGCACTGTCCTTCAAAGCACTTACCACCCAGCTGTCTCCACCTGTCACGCCTTCCAGGGTCTGCCATGGCCTTGCCAGGGCAGCCTACAATGGCTGACAGAGGGGCAAGGGGTAAAGGTCTCAGCCCGACACGGAACGATGCTGGTGGTTAATAGTCACAGCAGAGCTCCCTGCCTGGTTGGCAGAACTTCTGATGAAGTTGACCTGTATCACATTTCAGTTTCTGCCTCAGGAGGGGTGACCAACCATCTCAGTTTGCCCAGGACTGTCCTGGTTTTAGCGCTGAAAGTTCTGTGTCCCAAGAAATCTCCATCCTGGGAAAACTAGCATGGTTGCTCCCTCCAGCCCAATCCTGCTTCCTTCCATAGGTATTCCTTCCCCTTCCTTCCCTAATACTCTTCTTGTACTGCAGACTCCGTCTCACTGTCTGCTTCCTGAGAGCCCCCCGTGGCAGAGCCCTGATTACTACATCACAGGCAATGAGCAGTCCAGCATCAGACTGTGCGTTCTTGATCTCTAAGCCTCACACTGCTTTGTAAAACTGTTCTGGTCACTAGAGAGGGGTATTCAGAGAGGTCCAGGCAGATTCTCCAGGCTCTGTGCAGCCTGGATGAAATATTTCTCAATAAGAATGGAAAGTAGTTCATGTATATTCAAAACGCCATGTGATGAGCCAAGTGCTTTGCTGATGAAAGAGGTTCTATCAATACCCTTATTTTACAAATGAGAAAGCTGAGGCTTAGAGAGTTTAGTTGCCCTAAGGTTTTAAATTAGGCACTCTGACCCTAAATTGTAAGTTTAGATAAACCTGAACAGCTGATCATTATTAAATGGAAATTTTTTTTTTTTTTTAGTAGAATTGTAGAGTGGGTTCAGGGTAAGTTAATGAAAATTCTATATTTAGATAGCCCAGCAAAATGGCAGGAGGCTATAGTCCAAGTTGTCAAAAAGCTTAAAAGAGTTTAAGAACAGGAGTTAAATATTCAATTGGTAAGTTGTTTACACTGCAGTGAAGTAAACCTCTATCACTCTCTCCACCTTCTCAAACGTTATTTTTGAGGAAAAAAGACCTTCAGTAAGGTTTATCACAGAAGGGCCTAACACTCAGTATTTGGAGAATCCACAAAGGGTCTGCAGAGAACAGGAATTGGCAGAGCAAGAAATCAGCTAGAGGGGCCTTGTGATAGGCCTCTCCAAATTCTCTTCACCCCCAATCAGACCTCAAGAAATTTGCAGAAATATTCAGGAGGTTGTTGGACTTTCTGCAGGCCTAGAAAGATATTTGAGTCTAGTTTGTTCATATCTTTAGGGATAGGGAGATTCCAGTTGATGAGTGAGATGTACATGCATGACAAGAAGTTTCTTAAGATAAATCGAAATGATACAGGCGGCTATTTAGGAGACGAAAGTGGGAAAATGAGTAACTTGTACTTCTGTGAGCTTTTTCTGGATTTTCAAGATTTCTGCAACAAATATGTGTTGACTCTGTAATCTGAGAAAAGAATAATAAATTATCAGTATCTATTTCTCCGTATCCTGATTTATAGATTATTCTGTCTCTTGGGTGTGCTAGTCACTAAAAAGAAATAGGCAAAACAAATACACAGATAAGCTAGGCCACTGATTCATATGTATGTATTTCATACAGCTACAGAAAAATGGCCTACATACTGACTGAGGACTCACTACCTTAGTGTCAGAGCACCCAAAGTGCTTTAGGTCGGTACCATGGTCTAGGAAGAGCATCGATCTTTAAAATTGTCAGTCAGTCCTTGAGACTTTGTTCAGGCCAAGCTGATATTGATTAGGGTCAAGATTTAATCCTGATTTGACTCTTGACTTATGTAATTTTGAGTGTGCAGGTAATTTTCTCTCCTTTATTTTCCTACTCTCAAAGTGACCAATATTATTTGCAAACATATACTGCTTATAAAGAACTTTGAGGTCTCTGGATTAAAGATTCTGTATTAAAAGATGATTATGATTATTACATGTTTTAATGTTACTAATTAAGCAAGTAACCAACATTCAGACCAAAAAACAGAAAAAAAATCCCAAACACATTTCATTACTTCTTTTGAACAAAACAGGTCTTAGTACTTAATGAAAAGTCTAATTTGAAATGTAGACGTTTTTTTTCCCTATTCATCACAAGCATTTAATAGAAAAACAAAGGAACAGTTTATCATTTCAAAACAGCTCAAGTACTCCAAAGTACAGAGGGATGAAAGATACTATGATTTCATATCTTGAATATATCATCTTTGTCTTGCTAATTTCCCCACTTGGGCAGAGAGTGTTTGAAAAATGAATGCTCTTTGTTCTTTTAGGAAATGAAAAGATCTTGAGCAAAGACAGGGAAAGTTTAAAGTGCCATTTTAAAGAGAAAGGGGATTCTGTAAGCCTTAAGATCCACATTTTCTTGACTGACATACAAATGTATTGCTTCCCTACTCCCCGTGTCTTAGCCTGAACCTGGCCAAGGCTGGCTTCCTCCTGCTGAGATGGTACAGCACATCTGCATCAATGGGCACGATTTACTTCTGAAGCCCAACATATAAACCGGCATATTTTAGTTTCATACTGATTTTAAGATTTCTTCATTGCTAGTAAGGACTTGCAAATCATTAGGATATAAATGTTATCAGTGATGGTAAATTTTGGAACTGAAAGAACTTGTAAATACCTTAACCAGATGCATGTGGCATCCATTTACTGAAATGGTAGCAATAAAATATTCCTTTTTTAAATTAATGGGTAAAGTAAACTAAAAGGAAAAGTCTGTATCTCAGTGATATACTATTTAAAAAATTTTTGTATGGTCATTTAAAAACGTGTTTCTCAGTTTTTAGATCCTGGTTTGGAAACCAGCTATAAAAGACATTTTTTTGGGATAATTGGAAGAAAAATCTGAAAATTGACAGCATGTTCAGTGATGTTAAGGATTTAATATTAACTTTGCTCATGAAGACAATCTTAATTTAGCTGTAATGGAAAACATTCTTACTATTTCACAATGTGTGCTTATGTACTTATAAGTAGGATGTCACTATGTCTCAAATTTGCCTTATAAACTTTGACATAAAAAGTAAAGTGAGTTAAAAAATTACAATTTATTTCATTTTATCATGTTCTCTGTTCACATTTTTATTCATGATTTTTCTTCTCAGAACATCTTACCTATCACATTCTGATTTATTCACACATTTCTTATTTTTACTGTAAAAGTAAGGTGAAATTACAAAAAGCTAAAAAATTCTGAATTCCACTTCCCCATGCCAAATATCATTAGGAGTTGTATTTTCTTTCAGTTCTTTTCTGAATTGTATCTTTTTTTAACTTTGATCAGAGCATAGGAACCTTCTGTGTGGTTTCCCTAGCATTGTGTCTTGAGTCTACCTTCAGTGCTGCTCAAGGGCAAGCTATTGTTAACTTCCCTACACCCGTTGCCTGTCCCTGCTGTCTGTCTCACAGCCAGTCAGGCCCAGGTGACCATTTGCTGAACGCATGTGGGTGGTTTCACGGCCAGTGAAGTACTGCTGCCCAGACCGAGAGGTGAAGCACAGCATGTTGAAGCCTGGGATCACCGTGCACAGCATAGACGCAGCCTGCAGGTCTCCTTCCACCAAATGGGAAAAAAAGTCCATTATATCCTTGCATGGTCCCAAAGGATTACTTCACAGATGGCTTGCCAGTTATAAGGGGAACACAGAACTTTATAATGATGAAATCTGGAGGTCACCCCTCAAACCCAGTGACCAATTTCAGTGTTACCAGTGGTGAGACACTAGACATACATTATGTACCTCCTATATGATGCAATATGAAGTACAGATCTTTATCTCTGAACTATTCCTGCAAAATGTTTAGTCTGCTATTAAATCAAGCCTTCTATGTCTACATTCCAGTTTACAGGAAACACAGAGGACTTAGGTTAATGGAAGGAATTAACAACAGTAAGTGGTATCGTGAGGAAGCAATCACACAAATCCAGAAGTTGGGACATTCCTCAAGGCAACTGGCTCAGACTTCTCAACAAGTCAAAGCCACGTAGAAAGAAGGGAGGAAGGCTGGTTCAGATGGGAGGAGTCTTGAGATCTATAACAACAAAATGCAATGTGTATTCCTTGTTTTGATCCTGGTTTGAACAACCAGATATAAAAAAAAATTGGGGTGGAGGGACTGGGTATTAGGTGATAACAGAAATTATTGATATTTTGTTAGGTTTGCTACATAGGAGAATGATTTTACTTATTGCAGAAGAATGTCCATTGTGCTATTCCTTCTATTTTGCAATATATTTTAAATATTTCATCATTAAAAAGGTCTGGAAATGGAGTGGAGGCAGGGGAGGGGGCTGCTTTCACTAGGAACAGGATGGGATGTTTCTCTTGCTTTGCATTGTAATAAATGAGTTGTTGGTCAAGACATGAGGAAAGATAGTCAAATAATATAAATACAAAGTTGCACAAGATTAAACAGACTATGTTTTCAAAGTTTGTTATAAAATTTAATTTCATGTGCTTCTCTCTGAGATGGGGATAACACAGGAAAACATTCTTAAAATGTGAATATATAGTACAAAAATTCTGGTACACAGGAGGACAGAGAAGATAACCCTAGCCCATACTTACTGAGCACCTACCATATGCCAGGCACTGTGCCAAGTCCAGCTGGATGGCACAAGTCCAGTGTGGTCCCAGCCACAGTGGAATGTATTCGCTGGAGGGGAAGACAAACAAAAACACGCCAACTGACAAAAACATAACAGGAGCAATTTGTCTTGTGGTGGAACACACAAGGGCTGCGCATGAGAACAGCAGGAGTGATGGTCAGGCAAAGGGTCTCCCTGGGGGCACCCTCAGGCTGGGCCCTTTAAGAGGAGGAGGAGTCAGGCAGAGGATGGTAAAAAGAAGAGCATTCTGGGGCAGAAGGAACTGTGTGGAGAGGTCCTCATTGGGGAAAAGGAACTGAAGAAACCCAGTGGGACAGTGGTATAGTGAGAAAGGAGAACTGTGGCAGAAGGTGAGGTTTTACGAGAAATAGCTTATAAGCCATGACAAGGAATTTAGATTTTGTTGCCTAAGGGCAATGGGAAGCCATATTCACTAATATTCATTGATTTGAAAATATCCCATTTTTAGAAGATTCGGGGAAATTGCTTACACACTGAAAGCTTCGGGACCACACCACAGGTCCTACCTCCAACCATGCTCAGCCACTCAGTATCCCCCTTTCTGTTCCTCCAGCTGGGTGTGTCCCAGGTGCCAGTATAGCAAGCTGATACTCATTTGGTGTATTAGGAATCTTGCCAGATAACAAATTATCCCCAAATGTGGTGACTTAAATCAATAACGGACATCTGTTATCTGACAGTTTTGTGGGGTAAGGAATTCAGAAGAAGCTTAGCCACATGGACTGGTTTGGGGGTCTCTCACGCAGTCACAGTCAAGATGTTTGCTAGGGTTGTGGTCACCAGAAGGCTTGTTGGGGACTGGAGGGCTCACCCACATGGCTGTTGGCAAGAGGTCTTACCTCCTTGCCATGCGGTTCTCCTCTTAGACTGACTTGAGTGTCCTCATGATGTGACAACTGACTTCCCTCTAGTGATCCAAGCAAGAGAGTAAGGAGGAAGCCACAGTGCTACTGATAACCTAGTCCTGGAGGTCGCACATGCTGTCACTTCTGCCATCTTCTATTAGTATCACTAAGAGATGAGCCACTAAGCCCAGCCCACACTCAGGTGGGGAACTGAGTTCCACATCTTGAAAGGAGGAGTTTCCAGAAACATGTGGACATATTTTAAAACCACCACATTCAGTGGCTCACTCAACTGTCTTCGTCAGCGTGAAGCCTTCCTTGATGCGCCTGAGTGGGGCTGGTCACTCTCATCTCTCAGCTTCACAGCATTTCATTTCTACCTCTCACAGCTCTTGCCTTGTTTATTATGATCAATTTACTTACATGTCTATCCTTCTCACTAGACTGGAAGCTCTTTCTGACCAAGGGAACATGTCTTATTAATCATTTGCATCCTCAATCTGCTCATTAATGAAATTCTCTGAACACCAGAGGATACAACCAGCCACTACTCCAGAGAAAGGATTTTTAAAAGACCCCTCACACTTAGGGCCTTTCTTGCCTTTCTTTTTTCTTGATCTACTCATTGTATTACAAAAGACATGTCTTCTCAACTAGATGATAAACTCCAAACATGTGACTATCTTAGTTATCTCTCTTTCTTAATTCTTAATAGCATCAAAGGCATTGCTTTGGATTATACTAATAATTATATTTTTAAAATAATTAAGTAAAAAGGTCCTGCAGAGTTGAAAAATCTTTCTAGCTTCTTTGGCAATTGGAATATCTACTGGCAACCTCAGTTCTATGTGAACTATAGTAAAGAAAAATGACCACAGTTCATAATGCATCAAACATTCAGCACCGTGAAAGGCCCTGAAGCACAGGGGATCTTCTATTCTGCTTCGTTTGCTGCCTTTCTGTTAGGGAGAATCAAGACCTAATCCTGTGAGGCTTTCTTCCCAGTCAGTGGAAACTTGAGAAGATCCTGTTTGTATTTTCTCTCTAAATAAGGAAGGCCATATTCCTTCCCATAGTTACAAAGTGTCATCCTGTCCTTGGTCTTAATTTATAGAATGGTAGCAATTCAAGTAGTTTTATCCGGATTGAGTTGGAGTCCTGGGTGGCCTTGGTTCTCACGAACAGAACTCTTGTGATATCTGAGCAGTGTTCTGGGGCAGATTTCTTTGGGTTTGAGAGAAAAGCTTTGACTCGCCCAGGGCCTGGGATAGGCCCAGGGTTGGGGCAGGGTGAGAAGAGGCGAGCAGTCTGGAATGTGGGTTACACTCCTGCCTCCTTCTCTTTGACAAGGATGTTCTTTCTCGAGGTTCCTCATTAAAGAATCAAGATTACAGCACATTAAAATTAAACAAAAATAATGGAAGGGCTACCAGCAAAATAGCCAGCGCAGTACAGAAAAGGGCCACATTTATCTCAAAAGGAAAAAGTAAATGCTTATCAACTCCTTTCCTTTCTGTCTGACCTGAGAAGACAGAACTGCCTTGATGGGACAAAAATGCCTGCTTTTACTGGACTCTCCTGGTTCTGAGAAGGGGATGCATTCATGCTCAGTCAGATAAGACGGTAAGTCCTGTACATGGCATCTGGCACACAGTAGGCTCTCAGCCCGTGGCGGTTTGCTCTCACGGTTACAGCACTCATGCTGGCTGGGCTGGCTGCTGTGGCGACAACTAAACTAAGAAAATCCTGGACGACTTCTCCAGCAGGAGAGCAAAGAGGCTCTGAAAGAAGAGTCAGAGAATGTGGATTCCCTAGGTGGTGTTCGTTAGGCCTAGGCATATTCACACTCTGCGCACCTCAATTACATAGTACAGCAAACTTGAAAGAAAGAATAGGCTTTTAAGATGCTTGGAAGAGGTGCAAACCTCTTCTCCCCAGGGGAGTGTGGCAGGGGCCCTCTTGAGGGAGGACACCTACACCCTTCTAAGAGGGGACAGAAGACAGAAGGGTGTTTCACATAGGAGCAGATGGCACAAATTACTGTTTTCTTTGTTAAACGGATTTCTGAAACATGTTAGTACCTCCCTCGTCGGAGTGTTGCCTGAAAGGGTGGAGGGCAGAGAATAAAACTGCAAGTTGCCGGTACTTGAGTTTTGACAAATCTGGAATTTATGCTACTGTTATATTTAATGTCACATTTAATGTTAAATCTAGGAAATCTAAAACCTTGATGACAACAAATGAAATGATAAATGAATTTAAAAGTAAATGCAGAAAAATCAAGAGTTTAAAAAGAAAATCATTTCAGTTCATACACTCCCTCGTGGTTCTCTTTTCTAAGTCAACTGAAAATGTTTAATCACATGCCTTTAATTAAAGCTCTGCACCCACAGAGAAGCACAAAGTGGACTTTGTGGCACTTAGACAAGTGTCCAGTGGTTTGGTTGCTAGAAAACTGGATAACATACATTTCTGACAGAGACTCCCATTTTGTTTCAAGTTCTTAAAAAACTGAACCTTGCTGAGGGGGTAAACAGCCTTAAATATCACTTCCTTTTGTGTGTCTCTTCACAGTGGTTATTGCTGGTGTGGATTAACTTAACCTGAGCATAGTAAACATAATTGTCTGTGTGAGACCAGCACCCGAGGTTTGTTTGCTAATAAATGCTAAGTTCACCAATTACCCCGAAGCCAACCAGGAAAATGTATCTGACAAGCATCATGTGGTTTACCAGATGCGGCGCTATGAAAGGAGGAGAGGCCCTGGGTCAGGGAAGAAGGCACACCAGGCTGCCAGCCCTCAGTTCTGGCCCAGTTCTGCTGGAAGCACTCTTCGTAAGCCTGGACAGGCCGTTCACCCTCACGGTCTCAATCTCCTTCTCTGTACCTTCCGTGGGTTGACTAGATGGCTCATGATATGTAGCTATTATTTAACGAGTCTTGTACATCTGTTCATGACAGGGTAGCATGATGTCCAATGTGACATAGAGCACAGAGTCCAGAACAAGACTGTTTTAGTGCAAAGTGACTCTTAGGTGGGCAAGCTAACTGCCCCAATCCTCATCTATAAAATGCGGATGTGTTATGGCCGTTTTAGGGCTGTTTAGGTCTAAATGTAATAATACACCTCAAGCCCTTAGAATAGAGTCTGGTGTAAATGTTAGCTGACATTTGATTTTAATGATCTTTCCCTTTTCAGAGGGATTTCCTTAGCTCAGTGATGTTGCCCGGGCACCACCCACAACTGTCCGCAGATCCGTATTTCCCCTGGGAATATTTTGTGACTTTTCTTATCTTGTGGAAATGTTTGATGGGTGTTCTGCATGGCTGTTAGAGCTCTAACTTCCAAGCTGTGAAAAAAAGTGAAACTTGTTAGGGAAAAAAGCCTTAAGCTTTAAATACCTCTAATGCTCTTTCATTTTAATCTCACATGCAGTGGCGGCTGGTTAATGCCTGTGTGGCATTAAATATCAAGACCTGAAGATTAGGTATCAGGACCTGATGAGTGATATGGAAATGCTGCTGCTGATTCCCATGATGCTACCAGTCATTAGGCCTTGCCTAGACCCCAACTCAAAGGCATTTTCATGCACTCATTCATTCCTTCACTCACAGGCTTTTCTTGTGCACTTACTATGTGTCAGTCACTGTACAAGAGAAATAACTAAAATGTGGTTCCTCCTCTTGAAGAGCTCAAAGCCTATGGGAAAGCAGATAAGCACATTTATAAATCACCAAGTGGTAAGTTCTGTTGCAAGGACCTGAACAAGATACTGTGGGAACCCAGAGCACGAACTGTGCCTGGAGGAGCCAGGAAGTGACAACTGAACTAGGCCTTGAATGGCAAATAGAAAGGTGTGCGATTGTGTATGTGTTTATCTGTGTGGGCTTTGCAGGGAGAGGCAAGAGCAAAGGCTTTATGAAGGGTGCTGGCCTGTCTGGATGCACAATCTATGTCCCTAGGGAGAGATAAGCAAGTTTTCAGTGGTGGGAAAGAGATGGGGAACAACCTCATTTGACATCCCACCTTCCTCCAAAGATGAACGGATTTCTATCAGATATCCTGACAAAGGGAATATCTCTGTACGGTGTTTAAACATTATATGTTGAACTTAAAAGTAGATGCATAATGATTTTGAGTCCCCCAAAAGGACCTGGTATAGCTACAAAACAGCTAAATT